GTTTAGTCAGTAAATTAGTTTATTTGCTATCAAATTGCAAAAAATAGCAGTAGTTAAAGACTTAATTGAAACAATGAAAGTACAAATAAGTCACTCCAGTGCTGACTTACTACTTGCAGTGATCATCATTATCATTCAGTCTGTCTAAATAATTTTCAAGATGTTGGGAGCACAAAATTTGAATTTTTAGAGCTAACGATCTTTTCAAAGACTTTTTCTAATGTCTCTCTGCCTCTCTGTGTCTTAGTTTAACCGCTGAAGTTGTTTGAAGTCAGAAAAGTTTGGGAGGCAAGTCTGTTCAGTAAAGTAGGAATAACCTACAGTTTTTGAATCCTTAGGGCACAATTCTTGAAGTATGTGGTTTGGTGTTGCTCTGTAAAGAAAGATTGCGCACGACAGGATTTCAAACCGTGCTAGAATTCTTCTAGCTTGTTCCTTGTTGCTTCCAATCAAAATGAACATTATATCAACGAATTTTAATTGGCTTCTCAAAATTTTATTAAGTTGCCGTTTATTTCATCAACTTGTGTGACATGGTCACGTCGCTCATTTTATGGAAATTTTGCTTTGTACTTTTTTATAATTTTATGATTCTAAATTTTTAGCCATAGAAGTTGCATTCACAATGTAAAATAGCTTTATTACTGACTCTTAAAACTGCTCAAATAAGGCCATTTCTCTTTTTTGAAAAACAAGCTCACATTGATTTATTCGGTCAGGTTTTGGCTTCAGAATGCCTTTCCCAAGTTTTTTCTACATTCTGTAAAGTAAAAGGGTTTTATAACCGTTGTATTCACAAAGCTGCCTTTAGTGAAAACCCCTAATGCAACTTTGGGAAGTATCGGAGCCTCTGCTGTTTTCTGTTTTCTATATGTTAGATCTTGTGGATCAATTCGAAGTTTAATTTTTACAGCTTCCTCTTTATTTACCTATATATGACTCGTCTAAACAACTTTGCTTGTTTAAAAAAGACTGTTCCAAATGCAGCATTCTTTTTCCCTGCAGTGTCAATAATGTTTTATTCACATCTATAAGAATAACTTATCGTATAAACAGACCTGATATTGTCCAAAGAGTAGGACAAAACAACGTGAAAAGTCCAAAAATACGTTACAATTTTTACAAAATTTGAGAAAGCAGAAGAAAAAAGTAACTTTTTGTATTGGCTATAGTTCTGGCTATTCTACATCTCTTGAAAATGAGGCAGATTCTGAGGCTTACTTTCCAACTGCAGTGTACAAAAAAAATATTTTTTCTTGGCTATGCCAAATTTATCGTATGATTCGTTTTAAGATAGTCGACGACTTTCACTGTGAACCGGAAGTGAAACCAGAAGAAAGAAAGGAGTGTACAAACGAAGGGAAATGTACAGGAACCTATTTTACCTCGGTTTGGGGAAAATGTTCCAAAGAGTAAACTCCCGCTTTTGTTCTGTTTTTCTTTTTGGTGCCTCAAATTACAACTGTTTTTTATTACTTTCCTCTGTTTTTCCAGTCTTCTCTCTCTTTTGCCAGCTGTTTCAAGCATTTCTTCACCTTTTTTTGGGATTAATATAAGTTTGATTTAATTATTGTTAGGTGTGGAGGAGGAGTACAAAAACGTATGGTCATATGCTTAAACTACGACAAGAAATATGTACCTGAGTTGTGCGATGAGAGTGAAATGCCTAAGGAAGAGCAAGAATGTAATGCTGAGCCGTGTCCGTGTAAGTTCTTGAAAGGATGGATGTAATTAGGATTTTATCATTTGTGGGATGTAACTTTGTTTATTTTCTTAAGTGCATAAATGCAGAAAGCGGTTTTTTGTTCGACTGATGTTTTTAGTAAATT